TCGCTCAGATAGATTTCATAAATATTTGGGTAAAGTTCCAAGTATTTTAAAATATTATTAGAAAAAACATTCTTTTTTCAGGCACAACTCTCTTCCTTTGTGTCTGATGTTTTGTTGCCTTAATGTGTCGGTTTTGTTTTGTCAACAGGCATCACTGTCGTGTGAAGCACAAATTTATGTGATCCCATGGGAGAATAAAATCATTCCAAAGCTTAACTGCTCTGAAGAACGGAGACTGGTATGATTCCTCTTCATCACCCACCATCTTAAGCAGAGCAAAGAACAAAGGCAGTCATTAAATTCTCTATTTATTCCAAATTATCCCATATTTTGGACCAAAAATAAAGGAACACACAGTTCTTTTAACAACCTCAGTAACGCCACACTTCTCCCTCTCACCCTCTAACTCGAGCAATCTGGCACACTGAAGTCAGCTTCTTCACAAGGTGAGACAGTGGCCAACAAGGTGATCACAACAACAAAGGCCACAGGACAGGGAGAATGTCCTGCCTGTTGACTGCTCCTCTGTATTGTCAGTTATGTTCTGAAGCATCAGGCCCCATCAGCTCCTTTAAATTACTACTCATACTAGGTTTGAAACTTGAAACAAAAATGTATTTGGCAACACAATAATTATACCCCAGAGATTTCCAAAGCATGTGTGAACCTTTTCATATCAGCTGAGTGGCAGATCCCCTGCCACTGTTGTCAATCTCTGCCAGAGGATCTTTCGATTTCTTCCTACTCAGCTCCACAATTAACTAGCCCTGAACATGGGGCAGTTTGAAAATCTCAGAATGGAATATAAATATTTTTATTATCAGAACTTTCTGATGTTGCCAGTTTTTTAATAAATGCAGAGATTCCCACGCTACACGGAATAAAGACAGATTAAGCTGCCCTCGTAATTAATAACTTCACTGTGCTCAGAACCTCCATAACTACGTATCCATTATGTATCAACTAATATCTTTCCCCTCTATTTTCACTACAATATTGTATCCACTTCAACTTTCAAATTTAGTTCCATCCCAAATAACTCTGATTTGCAGTTAGATAATGATCAGAGGCTTTGGTGGAGAGAAATGAAACCCATGTTGGACAGTGACTGTGCCCCATGTGTTCAGTCTTTGTCTTCCAGTTGAACAGTGATAGGGGAGTAGAGATTACTCAATAACAACCGAGTGTTTCATATTATCAGCTTTAATCTGTGTGTTATTTCTAGGCAGTATTCTGAAATGCATATGCCAAATCTAGAGGCAAAAAATTGAATAGTTACATTTTATATAACAAAATGGTACAGATCATATTCTGCTATTGATACTACTCAGAGATGTGTTAGCCTTTAGCATAAATTGGTTTTATACATCTGAGTATTATAATCTAACAATTATGGGGACATCTAGTCCTAGAAATCAACTGTATTGTTCATAAATTACAACCAGTACATGTGTTTTGCTCTCTATAGTATCATTCCCCTCTTTACCTGGCAGAATTTCAGTGATACAGACATTTTTCTTTTACACATACAGCTGTTAAAATATTCCAGAGTTATTTGGGAGGATACTTATGTTTGTATGCTTATCACAGAGAGAACTATTTAATTTACTTTGAAAACCTACTAAATTATTCAGGTACTACAATGGGCCAGCTTCTGAATTTTCCAAATCTGAAGCAATTGTTCTTGTTCATGTAACAAATGTGGCTATTATGGCTATGTCTTTTAGGAATTTTTTGCAAGAAGGCCTCCTGGATTCACACCTTTCCGGAGTGCTTCACCCTCACATGCTGCAGAAGACAGTCAAAGTCCTGGCAAAGAAACAAAGGAAGACAATGGACAGGAACCAGAAGGCAAAGGTGAACCTGAGCATAAACATGGGCATAAGCGTGGGCATGGATGTAAAAGCGATCATGAGTCTGACAAAAGGCATGGGCATGAAACTGGTTGAGGGTGCAGAATTGGCCATGGGTGGGGGCATAAAAAACACAGTAAAAATGGTAAACAAACATCCAAACCCAAATCTTCTGGAGAGTCCAGTGAAAGGGGTTTTAATCAAAACAAAACTGTCCTATCATCCAGTGCTGAAACAGCACCGGAGCTGGTTAATCCAGGGATTGCAAGAAGGGAAACCAGTACACCTGCAGAGCCACTAATTCTTCCTGATACTTCTTTATTTAATGGGTTGCCAGATCGCCCGGAATCTCCTCACCCCAGATGTCCTGGAAAACCATGGAAACAAATTATGGATCTTCCAGACTCTCCTAGCTTTCCCAGAGAATTCACAAATGAGGATCTCTTGCCTTCTGCAGCAGAAAATGTTGATTCAGCAACAGCAAACGAAGAGGAAGACTTTGATCTCGCAGATGCTTTACAATAATTCAAACATTGTAGGATCCTTTTCAGAAATGATACATAGAAAAAAAGAAAAATAGTGCCTTTTGAAATGTATAAAATGTGAAGAGGCAAAAGCTCCTATTCTGTTAACTGAAAGACTCAAGTAGGTCAGCAGCACTTCTGGGGACCTAAGACCATATGGCAATACTGTGTATCTGCATATATTTGCAAATATGTAAATCAGTGTAACTCATCTGCCTCAAGTTGCTATAAGCACAAAGTGAATCACTGCATCAAATCTCACTGTATTATATTTAAAAGAATGGCAGAAAGGATTTTGCAGATTACGTGAAGATTCTCAACCAAATATGGGTAAAACAAAAGCAAGACAATAGAGAGCAAGGGAGCCTCTTCCTATATATGAAATAATATTTCTCTGATTTACTGGAGTGAAATAAAGACCAAAATAAAACAAAGGAACCTGTTTTACCTGTCAATTTCTTTAAACAAATTAATATTGCCACCAGTCTATCACTAGCAGGTTGGATAACATGGACAGCTGAGAGAATCCTAAATAAAGCACTTTTATTATTCCCTATACATATTATGTTAACTACACAGTAGAAGCGCTATGATTGACAGATTTTCATGTGGCAGAAGGGCACAAATATTACAGATCAGACAACAAAATTACAAGCTCTTGAGACACCTAAAATTTGTTTGCCTTCTTCCATTATTAGGTTGTGCATAATTTTGAGACTGGACTGAATTTTCTATTCTGGATATCTTCCAAAGGTTCATGGTTTTGTGGGACACATTAGCTAAAAAGCATTGAATATTTCTTGCAAATTAAAACATGTTTCCCTCTGTATGGATCCAATAACTTATTCAGCTGAAAAAAATATAATACGCAGCAATAAACAAATTAATACTATAATTTCCAGATCAGTTCACCAGTTTGAGCCACTACTTGGTCCCATAAAAGGTTATTGACAGGGTAAGGTCCTACAAGTGGTAACATTTCACTGATGTTGTTGAAAAAGACCATATTGCTTGAAAGCACAGAATAAGTATAATCCAACACAGCTGCAATTCCCTGAAGTTGCTCATCCCAGCTCCTGGAATTCTGTGGCATCAAGACTATATATTCAACAGCTGGGAATGGGTCCTTCCTTTGTGTGCTGTGCTTCTATGGCCACCACCTCCCTGGTGAGGAAGAACTAGACAGGTGAAGTCCATTCAGAGAATGCAAACTGATGGATGAACAGGATTAGGAGGTCTTGGCACAACATGTCCAGGATGATCTTGGAAGAGAAGTAGCTACAAGGAATGGTCAGAAGACACAGAAGTGGAAAGGACAGAAGCAGGGTGGAATGATATGGACAGGGTGAAAAGAACAAAAGAAAACGGCAAATGAGTGGCAAAAATTGAAACAGACTGAATGGGATGGAGAAGTGGGTGAAGGCACAATGGCCAAGGAGCTAAAAAGGACAGGAACTGAAGAAGGGAGGTAAGAACAAAAGTAAAAAGCAAGAGACGTGCAGGAGGGTCTCTCTGAATTGTGGCAGGGCAGTCCCCAACACATCACAGAACTGAACTCATACTGCCTTGAATCTAAACATTTCCTGGCAGTGTAGGCACACCTCCCCTCTCTGGTGCCTGGTTCCTTTTTTCTAATTGCATTAAAAGCTTTGGTGAAATGTATTGAAAAAGTCATGAATTTCAAAATTAGAAATGGTCCCTGTGAATATAAACTCAGCCTGGTTATGTGCATCTAAACGTTTTGGGTTTTTTTCACAGTGTAACTGGCTGCCATATAGACAGACAGACATCTGTCATAACTGGTGATATATAATCAGAACCACTGTACTTCCTTTCTTTCTGAAAACTAAGTTACCAATCTTTCAGAAGTCACACAACTTAGCTGGAGCCCTATTTTAGAGAAAGACACAAAAATAATAAATTCTGGATCAATCACTAATCAAATCCAGCATTTCTTCCCATTTCTTTCCTTCCAGCATAAAATGCAAAGTCTATCTTCTCTTTTTACCACGTGACAATTACTAAACTTACAAAGCTAGACAAAGGAAAGCCTTGAGAGTTATCTTTAGTTCTCTGCTTTTCTCTTTTTTCTGAATTTTGACTTGTATGATTTTGTCTGTATCTGCAAACTCTTTTGTGTATGCTGAATTATTACAAAGAGCATAAGCTCAAACCAGTTTTTCTTTAAATCACCCTAGCAATTTAAGTAATTAGCACAAAATTGCAGTAAAAGAAGTAAAGGTGCAAAGATGAGAAAAACAAAGTTTTGTTCCCATTTCTGATGTCCCTGATCTGAATGAAAAGACAGTCACACCCTTGATGTATTCTCCCCACAGAGAATCACGGGGAGTGATCGTACATGATTATGAGTAGTGAGACAGACTGAGTGGTCATTTACCATGTGCTATAGTGATGGTGTGAGGTTTCATTAATGTTTAATACAAAGATGACAATTTCAATTTGCTTTTATAATTTACAAAAATTATTACTTTTAAAAAAAATTCATTCTGGAATAAAAATCAGTATTCCAGTCTAAAGATTTTGAAACAGAATGTTCGGATATTTTTAGAATGGAACATTTCAATTTCTCATTGACATGTTCTCATTACAACAAAACAGCACCTTCGGAGGGAAGAATCTGCTGTCAGAAAACTACCGACCAGCCTTCTTTCAGCTCTGCTGCTGAGAGCTCTGCAAAGCTCCCAGCTTCTCCTACTGCTGGAATCACGCTGGCGCACTCTGTGCGTTAGCCACCACAGTGGCTAACGAGTACTCTCCTCCTTGGCCAGCAGATGGCACATTTTTTGCCACAGGGGTTTATGATCACCAAATTATGTCAGTTTTGTGATTGCCAGGAAAGGCTTAGTAGGCTTAACACTCAGCGTTTCGTTTGGGTGAGTAACAATGTAGATAAGAACATCCCATCTGTGCCATCTGTTTTAAATATTAAGCTCTAGGAACAGAGCTCCGAAGTTTGCCAGTTACTTATTATGAGCAAGGTGTATAAATAATGCTCTAAGTGTAATTTCATGAACATAAAAAATAAAGGCTACTCCTGCACCAGAAACATTGCATTCTTAGTGATGCAGATAGTGCAGGAACTACGACTCTGGGGTATGAAAACATTTCTGAATTAAAGTTCTGTTGATGATACTCCTGACATCCAGAGCTGCATGATGGCCATTCTGCAGCTGTCTGAATTTAATGTGCTCTCTCTCTTGTTCATTCCACCTGTGACTGTGGGACAAAATATGTATTTTAACTGACCATGAAAATTCCTCAGCTTTACTATGGATGGCCTATTGGATTTTTGCCACAATTCAGACATGACCTTTCAATCACACTCAGCAGTTCCAATCATCCTCCTGTGCTATGTTGACACAGTGTAAGCCATGGGAGAGAGCTGTGCAAACACCTGACATCAGAACATGGGGAGCGTGAACAATGAACACTGGCATTTGATAAGATGTAAGAACCCATTTCCTTCCTTGTTTTCTCAGGTCTCTCAGCCAGCAAGATAATTGCTCCCAATTTAGGAATATCAGCTCTGAGGACAAGAGGCTACAGAATTAGAAATGACATCATTGTGTGGCCATTGTCATGTAGACAGAGCTGTACCAAATCCAAACTACAAACTCCTCAAATATTCTTAAAAAATAATAATGGGGGTAGATATTTTCAATTCTATAACCAGCTACTCACACACAACTCCTAATGCTGCTGTGTTTACAACACTACATTAGTATAATTCAGCTTCCACAGTTTTAATTAAGCTTTAAGTGAAGTTCATTTGGTAAAATGTAATTAATAATAAACTGTTTCTACTGCATTCTAAAAGAAGAGGGAGGCTGCTTCAAGAAGGAAAGAGGGAAGGTTTTCCTAATTGGGTAAGGCATCTTTCTGCAATACTGGTAGTACTGCTGTTCCTGCACTGGTTTCAATCTGCTACTCAGTGAAGACTCAACCATAAGCTCCAAAGAAGTAACTCCTACTAATATGGAGTAACGGGGATTTGAAACTTGACAGAGATTCTTTTCTCTTCTGCCATGAAAAGAAAAGTGCTGATCTGTGGGTTGAAGATCAGGCATTAAATTACTTACCTTACTGTTTCAGTTCAAACTGAGCCACAAAGAATCAGAATTCTCTGCAGAATCCAGAGATAGGCCAAAGAATTATATTGGTTTTAAAAGTGAAGAGCAAAAATATATTTATTAGAAACACTGTCTGAACTTGGTGGATGCCTCTCCACTTTCCACTGGATGTACTTATCACAGGAGCCATAACAGACCAGTTGGCTTGAAACAAAAAAATAATAATATGAGTGAAAAACAAGGGAACAAGTCTGACTAGGGCAGAGAATGAACAAGGAAGTACCTGTCACTCGGGGAGGACATATTTTTAACTGCAACTTAGATTACTATAAAAAAAACTCAAACAGTTGGGGTAGAAAAGAATTGAGGATTATTGATTTCAACTTGGGGAACAAAATGCTCATCAACAGAACATCCACAGGAGCTATAACATGTTTAAAGACTTTGATTTACATGCCCCAAACAGTATAGTTTAGTACTTTGAAAATCCACCAGACACATGTGAAGGAATATAGTTTTATTTCTTATTCTAACCCCTAAGCATGTCAGCAGAAGTTAATTCCTTGACATTCAATCCAAAAGAAAAAAAGACTAATGCCATCAAACACCACGTAAAAGTAAATCTACTATAGCTGAATTCTCTTCATTTATACGTGCCAGCTGTTCTAGCAGCTGTATATCAACAAAAAGAGTAGAAATGCTCATAAATTAATAAAAATAAAGGGGTGTAATGGGACTTAGCTCAGGCTTTACAAAAGAAAAAAAAATCAGTTCCAGAAGGAATCTAGAATTCAGACTGATCATTTAAGCAGTCTTGTGACTGCTAAACTAAAATCTCCTGTTTGAATGCAGAGGCCTGATTTTAAATTGTGCTGAGAATTAACCTTAAATTAACCTTAAATAGCATTATGGGTACTCAGCATTTCAAAAATTAGGCCTTAGAGCACTCAGCCAAAATCTATGGTGTAAAAAACTGATATTACTTGGAAGTGGCTGAGATGGACATTGAGCAGTGCAATGCCTCTAAAAGTTAATTATGGGCAGAATTAACCTTCAAAGTAGCTCTTATATTTTACAGTGCTTTGGGAATTGGTGCAGGTCCTGGTATTAACAACAGCAGCACTAGTGGCTTAACAGCTTTCCTTCGTGGCCCAAATACAGAGATCAGAATGTTCTGGGTAATGTTTTGCCATACTTCCTTATTCTCTTGATCATTCCCACAATATAAACCAGGTGCAAGAAGCAAGCAAACCAAGCATAAACTATGAGATCACCTCTTTCTTCAGAGTTCAGTCCAGATGTATGGACAGATTAGTAGATTTACAAACAACTCCTCTGCCCTGTTTAGCTTCCAGTTCAGTTACTTTTCTATTGTAAGACAACCGAGATGCCTCTGGAACTTTGACCCAAGGTGACAGATCTGTCGGTTGTAGCCGACAGTTTGGCACAGGAACAGTGTCAATACAAAGGGTACAATGTGAGTGCACTCCACTCAAAACACATCAGCACTGCTGGAGCTCTGCTCTTTTTCACTGTAATACACATCAGCCACCATCAACCCATCAACTGGAACCAATAAATACTCATACCGTTTGCAAATTTATGAGAATAACCTGTCATTTAGCAACACTGTGCTTCTGCCACCTGTTTTTGCCAATGAAGAACTATTAAATCAATCTTAGACTGCAACACTAACCATCTACTAAATAGCTATTCTAAGGCAACTGAATTTTAGTCTGCATAGGGTCCATCCATTCCTTTTTTAACAGTTACTGTACAGAGAGGTGTTTATTATACACTCATATTTGTTTGAATAATCACCTTACAACACTGAGGAACCCAAACTAGTTTGACCCAGAAGTTCAGTGATCTCTTCTGGAATGTAGCACCCAATGCTCTGTGGAAGTCAGTCCTAAGACAAACTCAGCAGGGCACTTAACAACCGTTTGGAGCAGAAGGTGATTAAACCTCTTGCTGACACTGAACTGAATCACAATCACTTCTATTGCCAGGGGGTGCCTCAGCCATGGATTAAGCTCAAAGGACTCATGCAAACCTTAACAGGATGTTATCAACCCCAAGTGCACTGGGGACAATAGTAAACTAAAAGAATGGTTCTGAAGATTGCAGAACTATCTGCAGCTAATGAGTCTGACAAAACTAGTCTGAATCACAAAATGAGTCTGACCAGTAAAAACAGACTTAAACATCCAATTCCCCATGATACACCTTGGAAAGGGCAACTGATATATTCGTGTTTGATGTACCTTACCCAGTGCCACTCATGGCTGGGAAATGGCATGTATGAGCTAAGCTCTATGATCTCAAAGAATAACAATTTCACAGTGTGAGATGGTAATACTTAAAAAAAAAAAAATAGTGAATCCCTATTTACAGCCTGAACTGCTGAACTACCAGGCTGCTATAGGAAAAAAATTCACTCTGACCCAAATTGCAAACAGACTGCAGGAGAATAGTCAAACACCATTTGATAAATGGTGATAAAGTGCAAAACAAGAAATTGTGAGAAAGGGCTGTTCTATCCAAGCACACTCGATAACACAGCAAACAGATGGTTAAGCAATATCAACACAGGAGTATCAGCAGAGCTAAGACAGCATTATCGCTGCCTCCACAGTTTGTTTGATTCTCTTCAAGGCCCCACAGTTCAAACATGGCAGGTGTGCTGGGTTGCAGTGCAGGGCACGTGGGTTCAGCTGCCTCAGAAAGAGCCAAAAGACTGAGAGAAGGAGCAGGTGAAGGATAGCAAAAATATATAACATGCTAGACAGATGTAGAAAGAGCAGCAGTAGCTTTTGCATGAGTGTTTCACATATAATTCTGCAATGATCTTGAAGAGTCTTAGACTACAAAGCTCACCCCATTAAAGAGATCCCACAGAAAGCATGTCTGATGTCAGTTCTGTAGTCAGTATTCTTGAGTACCTAATATTTATTTTTCATTTATTTATTATACATTTCCACTCAAAAAACATCTACTTAGAAAACAGAAGATGAAAGATCATTGATAAAAGGCAGATAACACATCAATATACCCCAACAATCTTAGCACAAAAAACATAGTTTCACTTGCATTTTGAAAGGTTTCACAGCACTGCACAGCTGAATGCAACAACTGACATATTTTAATATATTCAAACAGAATTCAATCGGCTCAATGTTATGCTGAATTTTTTACCACCACTTTTTCTTCTTATCTCTCTACTGAGTTTTTTCACAGATGTCTTTACCCAGGGTAACAACGTTAATGCCAAAGTAGTATCAAAAAGCAGCTACCTTGAAGCAGCAGTGAGTATTTTCTAAACGAAAAAGTCACTCTTCTTCTCCCTCCTTTCATTGCAGTATTTCCTCCTGAAAGCACGGGAGTGTGCTTGCTTGCTCATCACTCCTGCTACCCTAAACAACTGAGAGAGCTTTGTTCTTCTGCACCAGCAGTTCTGCTCATGAACACTGACACTGAATTTCCTTTTTTAGACAGCAAGGACGCAGACTTTCTTCCTCTTCTCCCCCCCCCTCTGCCTCGCCTCCCCTCCCCCTCCTACAGTCTTTGCTGTGCCCTCATCTTACCTTCAACAGCACAAGAAATCCATGCTGCAGTTTTTTCCCTCGTTAGCAGCTCTATGGTAACAGCAGCTCTGAGGCAGCAGTCCTTCACAGTTCTCACTTCTCGCTGTTTCCTTCTGCATAAAGACACACAGTCTGTTTGCCCAGGAAATTAGCAAAGACAGTTCTGATGGGATGGAAATTAACAAACACAATTCCAAAATTATTTCAGAAGAAGTGTGCTCCCTGGGGTACAAAGTTGTATTCCCAGAAGAACTGAATATTAACAATGCAAATGAAGAACAATAAAGGAAATCAGAGAACTCTTTTTGTGTAATTAACTGTAAAATCATCTTTGTGATAACTACGCTTTCTTGAACACAAATGTGAAAAAAGAGAACTCTGAGCTTAAGATACACTGCAAAGAATATTCACATCCAAATGATGTCACATCCAAATGATGTCCTGAAACTAAAAGTATTTGCCATTGTTTGACCGAGTCTTTCTTTATTCGTTATTAACACATAATTAAATCAGTGGTTTGTTTGTTAAACTCCTACTAAAATAAAAGCAGTAATGGCATACAAGGATTCATAGTCTTGTAACCCATGGAAAAGTACATATCAGAATACATTTAGAAATGGTAACACAAGCTACAGAGGGCAAAAAGCAAGCAAAGAAAAAATATCAGTAATTGGGTGGTTACTGAGTACTATAGTATCTGCCCGCTTAGAAATTAGGATTTTCTTGACTTTGCTACTTTTAAATTAATCAGAAGAATGAGCTACAAATAAATGTTGAATATGACAGCAAATAAACAGCTCCTTAAGGCTCAAAAAGAATTATTATCAGAAACTCTTTAATTAAACTAAAGTACCTAGGACAAGATAAAAGAACTTTGAATAGAGGCACATACATCTTATTTATTTATTTATTGCAAAAAAACTGTCAGTAAATTATAATCTAACCATTTTCATTATATGCCTGAACTAAATGAATCAATATATTCCTGCAATTCAGCATGAACTTGCATTTCTGCCTCCTGCTGTGTAAAGAACAAAGGTTTCTGGCCACTGCCAACTGCTGTGACATGATGTGTTAAAGTGCATGTCCTGGAGTGGCACGAGCAATGCCACAGTTCTTCTTATCTAAAGTAAAAGGATCACCTGCATCTTGTCCTGTCCATGCATTAGTCCATGTCCACGCTGGCTTGTGTTGATGGATCCCAGGAAAACACAGGCAGCTGTTCCTGGGCACAACCTGAGAAGAAAAGAATGAATTCTCTACTATCCAGCACCTCAAATGTTCATTTTTGCCTCATCTGGCAGTATTCAGTCAGCATAGAAAACAACATAGAATAGCATTCTGGGATGGGTTAAAGCACAAACAACTGGGGCTAAGGACTGGCCTACAGAGGCTTCACAGCACGAAATAGAAGCCCCAAACAACAGAGCAGGACAGTTACAATTAGCAGCTCACTTGGCACTTCAGCTTCATGAGCACACATTTCAAACCCAGCCATGACAAGAGCATGAATCCGTAACACTGCTAAAGAGAAAAGCCTTGGAATAGTTATATTTTTCATCCCCAAAAGATCTCAGAAAGATTGAGAAAACAAACGAACAAAATTATTACAAAAGTCATAATGTTTATCTTGATTAAGTTTGTAAACTTTTCCCCACCCGGAGGTCACTGCTTTGCAGGCTGAAGCACAGCACACAAACCCATCAGTCCCAGCCTTAAACAGTTTACAGTCTAAGAGATTCTTCAAAGAAAGACAATAATTTCCATTGTACAAATAGATGAAAGAAGGGCACAAAGCTGAAACTAATTATCTATACTTTCACATTAAACCAGTATCAGTAACAGAAACTGATTCTGAGCTATAGTTACCTGCAGAAATTAATAGTCTCAATTTTCTTATGAAAAGTAAATCTCAGTAGGAAACTTTCAATTTGTAGAAATTAAGATTTACCTTGAGGCAATACTTTTGACTACACAGCTCAGTTTATTAATGACAAAGTATTTAACTTTATTTTTACCTGTTGCATACTGTAACAAAATATAAACTGTAAAACACTGTTTTGAAATTTAAAACAGTCTGATAGAGAAGGAGCAAGAGGATTTATTAACAGACGAGGCTGGATATGGACACAGAAAGAGCTTCTGTTAAAGAACAATGAAGTAATTTGTGTGATATCTCACTCTTGCTGCTTAGGGATGTGCACGTTTCAAATATCCTGACAATAAAGGCCTGTAAGACACTCACAGCTAAGTTCTCTGTGCAACACTGTATCAGTTGATAAATCCCTGCCATTTGTTGTCACCAGTCTGAGATGGGCCCTCATAACTCACAGCTCTGCACAGCACAGTGTGTTTGTCCTGATGTCCAGAAGTGTCATTTGGGTAGGGAAGGACAGAGTGGCTGGCTCTCATCAGTCAGGACACAGAGCATCTATCAAGGTTCACGGATCTACAACATACATAAGAGATTACTGCTTTTTGACCACAAACTGGTCCTGTGAATTTACCCCTGTAAAAATCAAAGTCCTGCTTGGCCTTTTTGGTGTTTTCATCTTGGGTTTGGTGCACGTGCATTACTTCCTCCTACTAAGGACATAACACAACTTTTTTATCAATGAGGAAAGGTACTCAGATTAAATAGAGAGTACAGGTCTGCCTGTAGTGGCTATTCCAAAAATTAAACAACTGAAATCATCAATTAAAAACCTCAAGCAATGTCAGTGGATTCCAAATTTGAATAATCATGAGAATAAACAATGTGCACAGATGGTTAACCAATAGCAAAAGGAAAAATGTTTTCTTCAAAATAATGCACAGGCTCATACCTTTCTCTCAGAATTGGAAAAAAATATTCTTTGCAGACTGCCTCACAGAAATATGTGACATGCACTATTTCATGGTAGTGCAGAAGACTTCCAGTAGACTTAAAAATAAATGTAACCACTACTGTGTCAGGATGTTATCAGCAGCTGCCACCTGGTTCATCTCTCAGCTTTTCTTTACTTTTGCAATAGAAAGAACAAACTCTATCCTGAAAGTACCTGTAACTTCTACCAAAGATTCTAGGCCTCCTACCATTACTGACCCCCATGTTTGAATCACTTGCCCACAGTATCCTCTGAGGCAAATACCATCACCCCACTTTGCAGAGGAGAAAACTCAAGAGCAAAAAGAGCTCTCATTACAAGAAGAGTCAATGGCAAGTCTCTAATAAATGTAATCTGTTCAATTTTAGTGTTAAAATTACATGTCTGTGGTCACACTGGGAGTCCTTAACACAACAAAGAACAGAGCTAAGGCGACTTCAAGTCCTGGACCCGACTACAAGCCTTGAAAACTACAACAAAGGATCTAATTGCTCAATCAAGGAGAATATTCAAGACCTAAAACTGTAATTATTGAGTTTTATAGCATGCAGAGGACTGAATGACTACAAAAATCATAGAAAGAAAAGTGTGTTTCTGCTTCAAGTATTTCGGTTAAGATTTTATTGTGCCAACATTTTTCTTATTACCAGAATCGTTACTAAAATTACAAGACCACCACAAGTGATCCCATATGATAGTTTTCTTACTTTATACTCCTTTAAAGAATTAACAGCAATTTACATGCTTCCTCTAAGAAATTAAATACTGATTTTCTAAAATTAACCCTAGCTTTTTATTAGAAGCCCAGTGTAATGCTAACTAAAGTAAAAGGGAAGTTTTTCACAAATTCAAAGGCCATTGAATGAAACTATATATACCTACTATAAAAATAAGTAGTATTTCACTTCCCTTAGTTCTTAAGATTTTTTTACCCTCTGAGACAGAGCTGAGAATCCTGGGTTCCTCTGAAAGCCCAGAACACTTCCTTTCAGCAGCAGTTTACTAAAACTTTCCCACTGCATAAACCAGAGAACTCCATTATTTCAGAATAAGAAATACATAACGGATAACTTCAAACCTCTGAATGCAGGAAGGTCACTGCAAGTCTGAATTTAAGCTCCAAACTCTAAGAGGAGATGAATTAATGGATGAATAACCGGAAATATTAAATTCACACAACTTTGCTCTTTCTTTTTAAAAAAATTAGTCTTAAACAGTTTAACAGATTAATATCATCAAGGAAAAAATCTAACTGGGAATGGGAGAACTTAGGCTAAGAAACAAAACTAGGCAAAACTGAAGCAGGAACACTCCTTGGAGACTTGTGCTCCAAGCAACTAGGAAGGACAAGCCACAAACCACCGTGCATACATTTCAGACAAGTGAGTCAGCTGGCCAGCAAAAGGTCCTGTCCACCCCACATCCTCTACACAAGCCTGAATATCATGAACAGACTGAGCATGTGAGACAATTAAATCAACTAAAGCAGCTTAAATCCCACTGTCTGTCTATAGTGCTTGGCACCTAAGTAATTTAAGCATATTTGAAAACGTTCCTTATTGACCTACTGCACAACTATTCAGTGAGACAGAACTTGGACTGGGAGAGGAAGTTCTGTGTCTGAATGTACTTTTAATTCACTCAACGGGGACATCATTGAGATTTCACAACACAAATTTGACTACAGTTCGAAAGCATACCAGTATCGGTCAAAGCGTAACAAAGTTGTAAATTAATTTTAAAAAAGGATGACAAAGCAAATGTAGCAGCCCAACATACTAAAGTCACCATAATGTGGATTTCAGATTACATGAGAGACTACAGAACACAAAGCCAGCGTTCTCAGTTCATTAAAAACATTGCATCTTATAAAATCCTATTGTTTAGTTTGTTTAAATTGTAATTTCAGTGGAATGACAAAAAATGCATAAGTTAGCATTAATGAAACCCTGACTACTTTTAAATAACAAGCATGGGACTCCTGGAATTTGGACTTTCTTTCTCCCCTGGAGGTTTTCCAGAATCTTTCCTATCCACTCCTACATCTGAGGAAGAGCGCTTTTGTTTAGGCAGGATCCTTTGGGACTGATGAACTGAAAAACATGACTTCTTGCTAACAACACCCTAACAAATCATCTTGATCCTTGACACGACCTACTGTGAGCGAGCTCTGTCTGTTTACCATTACTTTCTTTGCCCTGCTAGTCACGACAATCAAATAACACACAGTCCCCACTCTCGCACCAGACTTGCAAATGCAGGAGAGGAACTCAGGGATCTTCCAGGTTTCCTGTGAAGTACGCGACAGTTTCACAGCAAATTCAAATCATGCTATGAAATTTCTAAAAGGAGATTTCTGAGATTTCCTAATGCAAACTGCACCACAGCCTTTGCCAGAATATTGGTGAGCAGGGATTACTCAACTGGAGCTCAGTTTCAGGAGGTGTCAGCTCCTACTGCTTTCTTTAGATACATCATTCCTTACTTCAATCTGCATGAGTAATGACTGGAAACCCAGCTGCTAAACCAGCTAGTCCATCTGTTACCCCCTGTTAATAAATGTATAATTATGTTCACTCTCACTAAAGAGCTCATGATTCACTGGGATTGTCTTTTTGGGAAACATCTCCTGAAGTGTATTAGGTGCACATACGTATGTGGCCGTGGATCCTATCTTTAGTACACAGACATATTATTTAGTGTCTTCTTGGTATCTCTTCTGCTTGACGAAAACATGAACCTGATCCTCGAGGAGCAAGTTTTCAGTTGAGGCTGCTCTAGAAAGCTTAATCACATCTAAAGCCAGGGGACCATAAGAAATCCCAGTGTAATTCCAAGATTTTTGTCAGTGACAAAATCTGACCTTTCAGTACCTCCTCACTATGATGCTTCTTGTTCAAAACACAAATAATTCCAGGTAGAGTATGGCTGACACTGGCCTAAAAATACACAAGTTAGATATGAAATCACATGACATGGCTGCTTGCCCTACTGTAACCAAAGAGACATTTCTCAAACAATGTACAAAGGTTTTAAAGGGTGTAAAATGTCGAAATTTTTTCCTCTAGTACAGTTAGGGGTCACTGCTAGGATAACAATCCTGGATTTCTGCTATCTTGTTTCACAAAAAGAAAGGACTGATTCTGCATTTCCAACAATTTGCTTATCCAAAGTTAATGAAACAAAATTTCTTTCCTCTTTTCATTTGGTGAAACAAGTCAATGATTTCCACTGCAGGAAACATTGGGTTCTGTTCCTCATAGGCCTCAGTGTGAAACATCCATATGAATAAATCTCTTTTACGTGGGAACCGATGATTTGGTTCTTAAATCATAATTTCATTGTTCCAGTCATACAACACTCAAAGCAAAAAGAGAGGATCTGCCAAGGGGCCACCAGATCAAGGACTGTCACTGCATTAAAACAACCATGAACCAGAGCAAATAATGAGGCCAAATAATTTGATTCATCAAACTCTGCCATGACCACGTGACAGGAGATGCCAATAAACTCAACAGGCTTTTCTTTACACTCAAGCATCAGGTAAATCAGAGATGAACAAAATCTTCAGAGACACAGAAGTCTCAAGTTCCTCTACAAAGGTCGGTGGTCAAGAGCTGGGGGGGGCAGGCAGCACTCCTTGGCTACGTAGGTGCCTAATTCCAAGAAATCTTGGCATCTGACTGAGAGACTTTCCATTATTTTAGACAGTAGATAACAATATAAATTTATAAAATTGTCCCTTGATTGAAGTTAGCAGTCAAAAAAACATTTTCTGAGTTGATTTTTTTTTTAACAGGATGAAGTTTGGTCAAGCAGAATAAAACAAGACTTCCAAGAAGCTAGAGCGAGGGAACAGTTTCTCCTTAAAGAAAGCCAGGAAAGCCTTGTCAGTTAAAAACTGTTGTCAAAACTGAATTCTCAAAGTGATCTGATAAATGGATAATCTGAAATTACACAAATTTCTTTATAGGAAAAGATAAACATACTTGTTTCTGAGATACCATTTCAAGTCTGTGAAGAATGATCTTACCTTCCTGAAATTCCCTCAGGTCCCAAAATCTTTTCCACTCAGGTTTGCAAATACTTTAAGACTTAAATGCAATACTTAAATAAAAAATATATATATTCAACAGCTTTCTTAATAAATATTCAAGATCCCTAACAAATATTCAGCAGTTTTATTTCTCCATTTAGACTCAAAGTCATCTTAGTGGGAAATCTAACCACGCCAGCCATGCATTCATGTTCTTTCTTCAGTCCATCCTGTTTCTTTTACAACCAGAGGTTTATGAGTCCACATAAACTGTCATCATTTATTTAAAAAGCCTCTGGCTATTGTTGAATAGCTGTCTGAACTGCAAACACAAGATATTCTCAATATTTTCTACCCAGCATGGGTGAAACAAAACTTGAGACCGTTAGAGTGGGTCACAAGTGGAGTTGCATTTATATAATTTTGCTGGGATATCGGTAAATGCTGCATTATTTCTACAGATAATATTGCTCTAGCAGATGTTACCATAGGAAGATTAAATGTATATATAGTCTTTGCAAGATTCCCTTTATGGATATTCTAGATGGTTCTACACAATTTACAATATTCTAGACAAGTAAAGGGTCGAGAATTTCAAGCACTGCCTTCATTTGTTCATATATAATCACTATGGAAACAGGTTTGAGAAGTGACACATATAAGCCCATTAAAGTTGGCAAAAAATTATTACTTACAATTTACATTATTTGCCCACGTATTAAATACTGATGAAGATTATTGTGAAACCTGAGAAGAGCATTATAACGATCAATATTCTTTTCTCCCACAGTATGAAAGCATTGGGCACGATCATTGAATCGGTTTGCACAGTAACATTTCGTTTACTGCTTTAAATTGAACTGCACTAACCTTTAAATCAGTCTTGACAGGCTTTTTTTGTGAACGTCGCTGTACTGCGACCTGCAGTGTATCACAGCACTGCGCTTTCGGCAGCGCCCCAAGGACCACCCAGCCCGCCTCCTAGAAATACTCCCCAGTACTCCTTCATCCCTTCCAGGAACGATGCACCCTTAGCGCCCCGGGACAAGCCTGCACGATTCGGCCCCGGGCCCGCGGGCCTGCACCGCCGGCTCCGAGCGGGGCGGGGGTGAGGGGAGCCCTCAGAGGCGCCTCCATCTTCCCCCCATCACCTCCCGGCCCCTCCGTGCGCTCCCAGCACTGGCCCCTCACGACAAATCCGGCCCCGGCCGCAGGAGCGCGGGGGGGAGCGCCAGGGTTGTGTTTCGCCTGTCAGGGAGGAGGGGGCGGCGGGAGCCATTTCTGTGAGTGGGGCGAACCCGCGCCCCTGGAGCGCGGCCGCCTCCCCCCGTCCTAGGACGTTGCTCTTTTCACTCCTCTGTCATCCCCTTACTCTGGGGCTTTAAAAAGAAACAGACACGGCGGGGAAAATATAGCCATGAAAAGGCGCCGCTGTGCCGGCCCAGCCGCTGCCGCAGGGCCGGCCGCTGCCCCTCACCCGGCCAGGCCCGGCCACCATTTCCCCTTCCCGCCCCGCGCTGCAGCAGGGCCGGGCCGGGAAACCCCGTACACGCGGTGAGGGGGGCAGGGAGGGAGGAAGGAGTGAGGCGTCGTCACGCACTCAATGGTGCAATATCCTTCCGCGCTCCGAGAGAAAAAGAAGTCCCATTCTCGCCGTGACCTATTGGCCCCGAGCGGCTCAGGCACGACTTTCGGAGTAACCCAAACGGTCGCATGACGGGAATACCTTGGGAAAGGGGGCTCATTCCGGGGGGATTCGTGCTTTTTCGCCAGTGGCATGCGGTGTATATCCATGCGCAGAGCGGAGCGCAACGAGTCCGGCGGCGGGGCGGGTATATAAGGCGGGCGCCGGGGAGCGCTTGCCTTTTCAGTTGAGGACAGAGCTGGTGATCGGAACATGTCAGGGGGCTCCGCGGATTATAGCAGGTATGGCGGGGGGGCCCAGGCCCTTTCCTCCTTCAGGGGCTCCGTGGGTCGTGCGGAGGCGGCCGGGTAGAGGCGAAGGGGGGGTGGATGTGGGCGCTGGGGCGCGCTGAGGGGAGGCCGGCGCTGCGGTCACTCAGCCCTGCGCCGCGGCCCCTCCCGTTCTAGACGTTTCTGTCCCGGCGCTTCCCTTGCTCGCGACTCAGCGGCGGGTTAGCTCTATTTCTCCAGGCTCGCTTTTCCTTACTGTTTTTTTTTTTAGCCATCCCCTTGCGCCTGAATACAGATTTTTTTTTTTTAAATTTAAACCGTAGACAACTGAATCGAGGCTGAAATGTTTTAACGCCTCCACGAGGATTATTTTCGTTTGACATTCTGCTCCTCCCCCCGCGCCGATGGTTCGCCCCAGGTTGTGGGGCCGCGCTGGGGGCACGATCATTGTGTTTTGGGGGGGCCCCCCCGGGCCATCGCCCGGCGCCGTCCGCCCGCAGCGCCCGGTTTGCGCAATCCCAGGGGTGGAGCTCTCGCGAGAGTTCCCCGGCGGGGCGGGGCGGGGGGATCCGCAGCGGCGCCGGGAGCGCGCCCGCCCCTTCACCCCCCCTTCTTCCGCGGGAGCGCGCGCCCATTCCCCGCCGCGTCGGGACCCGGCCCCGGGAGCCGGGAACGCCCGAGCCGGGGTAGGGGGAGGGGGGTAGGAGTTTGCCCGTTGGCAAAATCCCAGAGCACCTGCTGGAATGATCCGTCACGGGTCCCGCGGCGCTGGCAGCCGAGGTGCCGGCGCGCTCCCGGGTGCTGGTTGTTCTGTACTAACAGCGTGTTCTGTTCATTGGCAGAGACCATGGCGGCCCAGAGGGAATGGAGCCCGATGGTGTCATCGAGGTGAGCACCTGTGAACCGACCTGAGAATTTAGTCGCTGGTGAAGATGGGTATTGTGTTTAATATTTTCCTTTTTTTTTTTTTTTTCCATTACAGAGCAATTGGAATGAAATTGTTGACAATTTTGATGATATGAATTTAAAAGAATCCCTTCTAAGGGGCATTTATGCTTATGGTTTCGAGAAGCCTTCAGCTATTCAGCAGAGAGCTATCATTCCATGCATTAAAGGTATGTAGGCAATTCGTTGATTATCAACATGGAATAATTAGAAAAGCATTGTAAAATGCATACATTGCTTTATTAGTGTGCAGTGATACTTATCTTCAATCTTAAAAAGTGATATGATGGTACACCATCTTTCGGGACTGACCTGAAATGGAGAGAACTTTATAGTACTGATCACTTGATTCAAAGGGAATTAAATAAAACTAAAAACCATGAATGACCTCTGGGAGCAGTAAATGTGTATCCTACTTTTTTTAGGGTATGATGTGATTGCTCAAGCTCAGTCAGGTACTGGCAAGACAGCCACATTTGCTATTTCCATCCTGCAGCAGTTGGAGATTGATCTCAAGGAGTCCCAGGCACTAGTACTGGCCCCTACCAGAGAACTGGCTCAACAGGTATCAATAGTGTAGTTTAAAAAAAATAAATGCTTGTGTGTTGCATAGGTTTCAGGTTTCACAACTGTGAGACAACAAATAGACTTCTCAAGGGGCTGTAATTAATATCCATTCAGAACCCCTTTTGTGTGAAGTAATGGGGGATACAAGCTGGCTTCTGTCCCACAGGTTCTCTGCCTGCTTGAAAAGCTGAGTTGATGCCCATGGAGGGTGTGCTGGGGCAAAGGTACAGAAGCCACCTTCTGTGCTGGATGTGGTTAAGGTGTGGCAGCATCTCTAGCAGAAAACCAGCTTGAAAGCACAGTGTTCTGAGTGGAAACAAAATTTACTGGTTTTGGAAGCTATTTGAACCTGAGTGCAGTTGTGCAACATGAAAACTGCAGTGCACATGTGGTCACTTAGATTTTTTTATTTTTTTATGTCTTTGTTTTCTTGACAATGTAATTGCATGTCTGCTTAACCTTCAAGGCTTGGTATTTTGTAAAGCTAAGTGAATGTCTCTTCACAAAACTTATAGAATACTAAATTTTTAGGGTGAGGGTATTTGTAATGTGGGGTCTTGAAATGTTAAACCCAACTTGAAATAGAAAACCTCATTTTCAAGTAGAATATACTAAAATGCCAGTGCTGTAGTGACAGTTCTTCAAGGTAAAGCTAAACATAACTAAATCAGACAGAAAAGAGTCTAAAAATTTGGTGGAACAAGAGCCTCTGATCAGAAGGTTAAGCCTTTGTTCTATTCTGAAGCCATTGGTGAGGTGGGAGTTGTTTTGAAGCCTGTGGTGCACTTGCAAACAGCTCACAGAATAGTACAAGTGCTTAATGCAGGCCTGAGCAGCTGAGAGCTTGGGCTCACTTTGGGAGGCCCTGCCTTCAGCTTAGTAATTGATTCATGGTAGTCACTCTTCCAGCAAGTTCAAGTAGTAAGGACAAAAATGTAACTTAAAGTGCCTCTCTGACTTAAGGTTAATGGTAAATAATGTGCAGTTAGGCAAAGTCACTTTAACAACAGTCTCTTCTAAGAGCTGTGTAGTCTTTGTTTGCTGTCCTGGTTTCCAAAGTCCATAAATGCCAGTGATGATGGGCCTTAAACTTTATTGTACCAGGAACTACTAATGGAAGGTTCTATTTTAGATTCAGAAGGTAATCCTGGCCCTTGGAGACTACATGGGAGCAACATGCCATGCTTGTATTGGTGGCACAAATGTGCGCAATGAAATGCAGAAACTTCAGGCTGAGGCTCCACATATCGTGGTCGGAACTCCAGGGCGTGTGTTTGACATGTTAAACAGGCGCTACCTTTGTAAGTATGAACTCAGTCGTGCTCTTAAATAAAGTCCCAGCATAAATCTCATACCCAGTAAGAGCTTTTGCTGGAAAGGGTAGTACTAAAGGAGAATGGTATTCAGAAAGGACTTGGTGTGTTTCTGAAACCTCATGAGATGCTACTTTGTTTTTTTCCAATAGCGCCTAAATGGATCAAAATGTTTGTTCTGGATGAAGCTGATGAAATGTTGAGCCGTGGATTTAAGGATCAAATTTATGAGATCTTTCAAAAACTTAGCACAAACATCCAGGTAAAAAGCTTTTACATGGTTAAATTGATGGATGCAGATTTGATTACAGTGTGGCTGAGAACTGAATTGTAGACATTGGTGTCCTGGGTATGTGCTAACACAGAGTAATGTGTTCCAGGTTGTGCTGCTGTCAGCTACGATGCCAATGGATGTGTTGGAAGTGACCAAAAAGTTCATGAGAGATCCCATCCGTATCTTAGTAAAGAAGGAAGAACTGACTCTGGAGGGTATCAAGCAGTTCTACATTAATGTTGAGAGAGAGGTTGGTATCAGTTGTACTTGCTCTGACAGGACAGCTTAATCTCTTACCTTCTTGTTAAAGCACTGTACTAAAATTGCAGGAATCAAGGCTGAGCTTTGGTTTCTGCAATAATGCTAGTAGAGTACATGCAAGAAGAAGAAAAATTCAGCACTGGATCGAAAAGACTAGGGTGGACCTCTTTCTTAATGTCCAATGTCCTGTGTCTTAAGATTTGGTGCAACAGTTGATGCAAAAATATGGCTTAGTCTCTTTGTTCCAACTTTCCAGATCATCCTAAATATACTGTGTGTGAGAGGATGCTTCATTAGTTGTTGTATTGGACTTTTATTCCTTGTTTGGGGCTCTTATGTATGAGCTGTCCATGGCATGATGCATTTCCTTATCTTCCCTGTTTCTTTTCAGGAATGGAAGCTGGATACTCTCTGTGATCTG